ATAAATTCCTTGTGTTCTGATAGTAACTAACCCTAAACTGTCTTCATCAAGAAAACACTTAAAAGACTTGAGTTAACAGAAAAGCCCTTCGAGGAAATCCTGTCAGTTATTGAAATGGATACAATAATTGTATGATTTCTTAATTTTGATGATTTCTCCCTTGATGTAAATGTATTGTGTGTGTTTTCTGTCTGTAGGTGCAGATGGCAGAGCGGGCCAGTGAGGTGACGGAGCTGAAGCGCAACCTCGCCCAGGCTCTTAGAGACAAGGAGCAGCTGCAGGAGGTAACGCTTCAAACATGCTCCTGAATGAATAAGCCTTCTCCATAATTCAAATCAGCCCTTTTTTATGTTTTTATCATAAATATGAGCTATGTTTAGTTTGATTTTCAAAAAACTATAAACTATCTGAATACCAATCTCTACTGAAAACTGCTGACTGTAGAACTCACATACATTATGCAGATAATGTGGGCTTTCAATTGAATTCCATTGAAATATCATCACCTTTTAAGTGCAATGTCTGAGCTCTTTTCTGTAAATTTTCCTTTCCCTTCACACTCCCCCACTATCCACTAATTAAAACATCTATACTTCTTCCCTCGCCCGTTGGTACAGTGCCATTAGACAGTGCAAATGCCACACGACGTGTCTGTTTCACCTTCCCAACCCTGGTTTAAATGTTAAACCTGATAGCAGCGCACTAATGAAGTCGTCGAGAAAGGAGGTCGGGCGGAATCGCGTGAGGAGGGAGAGAAAAAAAAAGAGGGAGAGGGCGAATGCCTCTATCAGCGAAGCCAGAGCGGAGGGAGCCAGAGTCTGACACCCATTACAGTAATGAGTAGGGTACTAATGCTCTTGCTTCAGATATAATCACAAAGGGCAGGGACAGTGTAGAGGGAAAGTTAAACTCTTGAGCTGAAAGAACCTGGTGCCTGTGTGGTCCCAACAGTGCACTTAATGAAAATGCAAAGATGTAACATACAATTTAGAAGTAGTGAGAAGATTATATGAAAATGCTGCTGTAGCATCTGTTTGTTTTTGAAGATTGTTTTCTCTCTTGCTCTTCTCCAGGAGCTGCAGCGTTATGTGTGCAGGCAGAGGGAGCAGGAGGCTGGTGCTCAGGGTGCTGAGGCCAGGCAGCCGATGGTGCTGCGCTACCCGCTGCCCTACCCCCAGGACCCCTCCCCTCCGCCGCTGGTGCCACAGAGGCCCGCTGAGCTGCAGTTCGGCAATCCTTACTCCACCGACACCACGAGAGGTGGGAGGAATTCAAACTTCGGTAAACCATTCTTTCTTTCTCCTCTCTGTCAGGATGTGTAACTGTTTTTTCTTTTTTTTTTTAGACCGGGTGGATGTTGCTCTGTCTCCTGAACACATGTCCCGTCCACCACCGGAGGCCCCACCCTGCGCCCCTCCCTGTGCACCCCCGATGACACCTCGAAGCCCTGAAGCCGGGGCGCCTGGCTGGGAGAGGGAGGTGGTCTGCATCCAGCCCTCTCGCAGCACGAGCCCCCCCGACAGCCTGGAGCATCCACCAGAGGAGCCACGAACTGTACGTCCATATAAATACACACCTCTGCTCAGGCACAGCAGTCCCCGAAGTTCACACACTCATAAATATCAGTCCCCTAAATGTGCCTGATTTTTTTTTTCATCAAGATCCCATGAATCATTCCCTGGGAAAGTGGTGAAAATGACAGAATGCCCAATAACCCAGTGTTCAATGCTCAGATCCAACCCAAAATGTAACGTTCTTACCTTGCTCACGTCACATCTCTCCACCGACAAACAAATGGGCACAGTTGAAAACATAACTTCCCAGGCTGAGGTAACTAAAACTCAGGCTGGCAGACGTTCTTAAATCCTTTATCTTGTATGGAGTATGGGTATTAACTAAGATTTGACATGTATTAGATTATATGTCAGTATTGCATACATGAATACCATCTGTTATTTTATCAGTGTTTCTGTTGAGGAAAAGACTTTGTCAATAAGTCATAATAGCACCACATCATCAATCTGATCTCAGTTCAGCAGTATACTGGGATATTTTAAAGGAGCATTAATGCACAACACACTACTTTTGATCAGAGCCTTTCTTTTCTATCCTCGCTTTGTGTTTTTGCAGCGAGTTCCTGTCATGCTTATTTCACCCTGTCTCTGTCTCTCGTCTCTGGAGTGCTCCTCCTCGCTGAATGAAGGAAAATGCAGCTCGCCCTTAAAAGCTGAGGCTTTGAACTCATTTGCATAAAGCTCTAATTAGCGTCACTCCCTCAGAACTCGAGAGAGATGAAGATAATGAGGATCAGGAGAGAGTAATTGGGAGGGATTTTGCACAGGCACAGACATCAGATCATTTAGTGTTTGCTAGATTATATATTTTGGTTGTTTTGGGAGGTTTGTGTATGCTCATCTCTAAAATAGATACCTGCCTCTGCATGCATATTTTCACTAGTCTTTACTGGCTCAGATCATTCTGTCAACCCATCTCCTGATTTTTTTTTTTTCCATACACTCAAAGTTAAAATTTGTCCTTTTCTTAATGTGCTTGTAGGTCACTGACGGGGCTCAGCCGTCCTGTGATCATCAGTCCAGTAGACGCACTGAGGCCAGGAGCAGCTTCTGCTTTGACTCCAGGTAAAACATCTACTCAAACCAGACAAACAAATTTAAAAAAACTACACGAGAAAGGGTGTTTTCATTTACCAGAATTACATGCAGACCAAGACAATAACAATAAATAGAAATACAAAATATAGTTATAAAATATATAAAACGAAATTCAAATGGATCGAAAAACAATTGTCCATTATAATAAAACATTTAAAAAGCAGAGAAAAGTGTACATGATCAATTCATTTGCTTTTTGAAATGAAAACACATTTAAATCCACTTAGGACTTTTATTTGGATCTGAATCGAGTTACACACACATCTGCACCTAATTGTACACACACTGTTTGTTTGTTTTTTCATCAAGATCCATGAAATTATTCTCTGAAAAACACCCTCACAATCTTAGAGGAAGTGAAAATAATACGTCCATTAATGATAACGTCTAAACACAGTTTGACATTTGAAGAGAACCTTATGTGCCTGTTCTCTTCCTCAGGCTCTTCAGGGGCATAGCACAAAATGCAGATAATAAACAAGCAGGAGGTAATGCAGCATAGTAACAGTGATTCAACAATTACTTTTCTCGCTGCTGAAATTCCTGTCTTTCATTAGTTATATTATGGTCTGTAGAGCAGAAGCGTCCCAGTCTGCTGGAAAGACTGTTGATCGTCACTACAACAGAGACACTGCTGTAGAGCCATAGCTAAAGCAAGACAAGGCTCCATCCTCACGCCAAAAAAACACCAGAGTGACATCTACAGTATTTCCACTCTTTCTGTCTCCTTAGTAACGACGTTCACAAGCGCTGCCCGCTGTGCGAGGTGATCTTCCCGCCCCACTTCGAGCAGCGCAGCTTCGAGCAGCACGTCGAGAGCCACTGGAAGGTCTGCCCCGTCTGCTCCGAGCAGTTCCCGCTCAACTGTCAGCAGCAGCTCTTCGAGCGGCACGTCCTCACGCACTTCGACGGCCACGTGCTCAACTTTGAGCAGATCGATTAAAGGATTTATGGGGGGGTTTACACCTAGAATCGTGGCATACGGTATGGGTAAACATGTGTTTGTCAGCAATTAGTTCATTTTAATTGGGGTTTGGTTAAGTTGTCTTGTTGATATACAATCATTCACACTTTTTCGGTTCCTAAAGGTTAGAAAAGAATGTAGTTTACTCCTGAGAGGGAGCAAGAGGTCGTGCTTAACACAGCTACTCCACCGAGGTGTTTGTTTAGTCGTGTGGCGTTCACCTAAATTCACAGTGCGTAAAAGGATCATGAAAACGTGGGAAAAGTACCATGATCCTTTACTTTTCTATCATTTTTTTAAATGCTCCATCTTTCTGCTTCGATGGACCAAAGCACCACTGGAAGAGCATGTATTTATTCTGTGTATAAAAACAATTCAACACTACAAAACTAGAATGAAGACAGTAAATTTAGCAGGAGCTTTGAACAGAGGATTTATAAAAAAAAAAAACTTTTAGCATCTCAAGTATCTTAATTTTAGTGGCCCTCTAAATATTTCTTTACAGTAAGTAGGATTCTCTTGTGAGAAAGTGCTTCATCTTTTCCTTCTCTCATGGAAAGGCAAGGAATTGATAATAACATGTTTTTTTTTTAAGTGTAAATGCAGAGATCTGAATATATGATGTCTTAAGAAGTCATCGGAGTGAGTATATAGTGTATTATGACAGATGAAGGATAGGGGAGATTTTCTTTCTTTTTGACTTGCAATCTATGAGCTACTGAACGAATGACCGTGTTTTTGCGAACAGAGACGTCAGGTGGTTCGAAACAGCACTATGTTTTAATGTATCTGCACTAAATAAGGCTTTATTCTGAATGTACTGTACATATGAAAGTACGTCTAAGTTGTGGAGCGACTTGTGAATTACTGTCGTGACCCTGCCCCCTCACTGTAAACCTCCCCTCATGTTTTACTGTTGAAAGAATGACGGGCCAACAAGGTTTTACTTCCCGGTGATTGCACTTTCTGATCTTTGGTCGGGCCGAAGGACACTGTACCATGTTGAAGGGAAATAGACAGCTGAGATACACTTATATTGTTGAGTACTTCCACGTTTTGAAGTTAAAACTGTGAAACGTCATTTCTTTGTGCGCTGCTCCACGAGTGAATGTCGCCGCTAGTCTATTTTTCTGTCATTACAACAGTGTTTTAATCAGGCTTTAAAAATTGCACATGCCCAGTAATCACAAGGCAAACGTGTGTGTGTGCGTGTGTGTGTCATGTGTCTGATGCAGCCAATTCACGTGAGAATGTCTGGACGATGGTTAAGTGTGAACTGCAAAGATCTTTATGAATAAAGTAAGCTTGTTTAAATGCATTTCAGCAACTTGTGCGTCACTCGGGCTGAAAAATGAGGAACGAACTTGACAGAGATTTTCACTTTATTTTGCTGGATTTTTTTGTTTTCATTCATTTTCTGTTTACATTTAAGCAGCTTCTCTTTTATATAGAAAGACAGTTTGACATCATTTACAAGTCACTCATGTCACGACCTGTCGTCCCCCCGTACAAAAAGGAAACATCAGTCTCCACGTTACATACGAAAATATAATTTAAAAGCACTTGACGACAGACACACATTACATTACATTCACTTTACACAGTATATTGAAATCCCTCCCTCATCCCCTCCTTCTGCACACAGCCTCCGCTCCTCCTTTCCCACATGTGTAATACTGCAATTGAAGATCAAACTGTTGCCATGGTGATGGCGGAGTCCGTGAAGACGGAATGTTTTTTTTTTTTTTTACAAGTAGCCATCCATCTTGGCCACAGATGCCCCCCCCCCCCTTTGCGGACAGGCAGGAATGAAGCATCTCTATCGCACGCAAACCATTATCTCAGGGTTACTTTCAGGGTAGTGCGTCCAGAGATGTACTTTGAAACTGATACTGAGGTTTTTACAGATCTTGGTCCGCTTACTGGTGCTGCAGAGTAGACGTGCATGTCTTTCAGGCAACGTTTGTGCTTGTTTGGTAAGAATCTACACTTAAAAAGCCCTGTCAGCGCAGGTACATGATGGTTACTATAACAGATCATTGATGGGACAACTGTTTTCTTATCGTCATTTTCTGATATCTGCCTTGTGTAAAAACAAGCGTTCAAAAAAGGTCTCATTGACATGCTAACCAAGTGGTTTCCATGGCAACAGCAGTTCAGAGGACAGGAGGATGTGTGCATGGCAGAGGTCACTTTACCCCATCGAATGAAAGAGAAAAACCTTTTGAGCTTTCGGCTCAAAACTTTTGTGCATGATGAGGGAAATGATGTCATAGATGAATGTGTCTTGGCACGCGGCTCCGCACCACTCTTGTTTTTCTAGAGGCAATGAATGATGAAATCCCCGTCAGGGCAACAACACGACATGAGGCAACAGCACGCAGGCAGCCGGCTACACAACCATCCTGCTCCACAGGAGTCCAACCTAGCAGCCTGGCACTGAAACACACTGATTACAGTAATACTCAATAGGCTGATGACTTCTGAAAACACAAACTCAAAGCACTCATACAATGAACTGGAATGCCATTGTCTACAACACACACACACACACATGCAAATGACAGGTTGTAGGTGGTCATTAGATACAAATCCACCCTCTCTCACACATAGTGTCTCTGCGTTTCGACACAGAAAGCATGCGTTAAGACATTCCGTCGATGTACATCCCATCATCTGCATGGAGGCGCGACGGAAGGAAACCCATCGCCGCGCTTCGGCGACCTCCTGGTTCAAACTTTAAGATCCTTCCTGCCCCCTACCCCTTACCCTCCCACCCCTCTTCAGGCACATGGTATGGTCAATGTTTGGCAGTGGAGAGCTGTTGGCAACGCTTGTGGGGAGAAAAAAAAAAAGAGGAGACAACGACAAAAGTGGAATACATACAGTATGATGCTTAACCTGCTGTCTCGGCTCTGGCACTCTGAGTGAGGAAAACACTGAAGATATGAAATACACATGGATGGCTTTCTGTTGGGGAGGTGAAATGTTTAAAGGTTTGGAATATTTGGCCCCTGGCCCTGGTTCGAATACGTTCTCTTCCTGATCAACAGCAAAATATCGCATTCAGAGTGTCACGCTGAAAAATGTAGATATATACGCTCGTAAAACTCGACTTATCAGCCAGCTGTGTGGCCTTTTCCTCTGATGTGACAGAACTCAGCAAGTAAGAAATGAAAGGAACGCTTACGTAGAAAAAAACACTATCTAACAGACAGAAATATATAAAATAAAGCTTGAAAATAAAGTGTAACTATGTATATGCTCATGAATACCTTTATATATTTTATGTACATATCTGGCTATTGTTTATATATCAATATATCTATTTTAAGTATAACTGCACTCTGGTACTTAAAACCCTGTGAAGTTCAAGTGAGAGCGCAGACCTAAGCTCAGCAAATTCTCACAGCCAGGGAGTGTTGGACTCCTGAGCTGAGGTCGGTGCCAAAATCAACTCCCTCCCACGCACGCACTAACGAGCAGGAAAACAAAAGGGGGCAGGGCTTGGTTGCACTTCCTGTTTCGCGACTCCTTTAAACTCCCTTGCTTCTTTCGTTTGTTTTTTGTCTTTTCTTTCTGTTGTTTTTTACAGTTAGCACCTTATGTGAGTCAAACAATAGAAACGAATAACGTGATAGCATATACGAATGTGCAAATGTACAACGATAAAAATACTACAAAGATACATTTTTGTTTTCAAAAATACAAGTGATATACCATGGATAGAAAAAAATAGTGTAACAAACAAACAAAAAGTTTAAGAAAAGAATAGAAGAACAACTTAAAGCATGCACTTGATCCTTTAGTGTGTGGGATGGGTGTAAAAGGGTTGGGGTAAGGAGAGTCAGGATAGAACAGGGCTATGTTTGGGGTAGTTGAGTCAGCGGCTCTAGCCCTGAATCTTGCGCAGGATCTCGGTGGAGACAGGCGGGTGGAAGTTAATGGTGTGGTGTCTCAGGCCCTGTGACGTCTTGTAGCTCTTGCCGCAGCGACACTTGAAGGGTTTCCTCACGCGGATCTGCGTGCGATGGCCGTTCTTGGCGTGGTACTTGATACCATTCACATTCTGAGCGAGGTGGGAACGGGAGAAGGGGAAAAAAGGTTACAAAAACAATTTCTGATGTTGCATATACACAACCATGGTGCAGCCTGTTTATAATTTTAGGCCTAGGACTGGTCAATATGGCTAAAACTAATTAATAATAATTATTACTATAAATGTCCGATAATTATTTCTTGTTTAAAGGTTGTGGTTTTAAACTCTTCCTCATGGTCAGAAATTACATTTGACTTTGGTTATATTGATGATACGGGCTAATTAAAGAAACCATGTCAATGTTAT